AAACATTTCAATAATTTAAAGAAATGTAATAATTAATCAAACCAATTTTATTTAATATCTTTTACTTGTTTAAAATTTAATTAGTTTAATAAAAATAGAGATTTAAAAAAAGAGGGAAAAAAGAAAAGATGTGGAGAAGAGAAAAAAAAAACGAAAGAAAGAGTGATGTAATAAAATTATTTTCGTTAACTATTATGTTTCTTTAAATCATTGGAATGTTATCTGTCAACTGTTAATTAATAAGTTTCATTTTAAAACAGTTCCTTATTTTTGCTAATATAAATATGTGAAGAATAAATTTTTATATAACAATATAATTACTATAATAAAATAAAAATATAATTTGACGATGTAAAATTTTAAAAATAAAAATAGATAAAATAAATAACAATGTCACTATCTGAAATATATAATTCTATAAATCATTAATAAAATTATGTAATACGTATATAACATCAAATATCTTTTTCAAGTTATGTATAATTTTTATAACAAAACATTAACACGAGATAATATTAACATAAATTTTAGTTATTGGTTTTATATTATTCGCAAAATTTTGAAAATTATTGCTAAGTATTTATTCTCGAATGTAAAATGTTCTTTATCCAATTCTTCACTCAATTTCTTTGTTTTTGAATTGTGTTTTGATTTGTATATTTGCCTGAACTTACTTCTTTGTTAATCGAGTCTTCCATAAGTTCAGTAAACCCAATATTTTTTAAGGAAACATAAATTTCATGTTTGTGTTTGTACTTGTTGCATTATAATTGAAAAAAATGCGATGTTTGTAGAGTGAAAAGTCTAATACTACAGTCGTAACTACAATCATTTAGACCAACTGTTACAAGCGTATCAAATTAGGAATAAGCATGTTTACATTGTCTTTTCCATATTATGTGAAGAAAATATATGAAAGAAAAAATATATTGTCAATAGATTGAACTATGTAAATCAAATCAAAAAGAGGTAAAATTACGGATGCCAACACACGAGAATTAATAAGAAACATCACGCAACGATGACCCTAAGGCGTCGGAATACATCCATCCACCGCTACATAAGCCACGAGTCTTCTAATTTAACACTATAATTTAGCGGAACTTGTTCATACGCCTGTATCAATTCTTTACAATAAGATTCTCGCGTACGCCATGGCGGTTTATATGTATATACAGGGTGTCCCAGAATTAGACTAACAAGGGAACCTCGCAAACCCAAAACCCAAAAAGATTTTGGTGAAACTTGACACACATATGGGGGGTAAATAGACGAATTTAGAAATTTCCAGTTGCGGCCCAAAAACGATTCTAAGGGATGAAATCACTTCTCATATGTAGAACAGCTTCTTGCTTTTCTTGATGTATCTCGAAAATTATTCGAGATATTAGAAAATGTTTTATACAAAAATTTAATGATAAAAACACATTCTATTTAATCACATTAATAAAATTTTGAAAAATAATTTTTTTCCAAGATTTTTGCCCTTGTTAGTCTTTGATTCTTTAGTGCCAGAACGGCTCATTTGCGGACACGGATTTATTGACAAAATTGGCTTATTTTAGTGTCTTTTATAAGCACTTGAAGTTTATCAGTCTAATTATGGGACACCCTGTATATAAAGTCCTGAAGAGAATATAAAATATCTGCATACACGAGACATCTTGCCTACATACTACTCTCCCTACGATAGTTTGGACATGTGAGAATATATTCTCAAACATATGAGATCTTAGCGTACGTGAGATCCCGGGATTTGCACTCGCAAGAGACTCTCGCACATGCAAAGCTGTCGCGCACGCGAGATAGATAATCATTCCCTTACTCTTCTTAACTCTCCTTAACTCTTCTTACGCGCCCTTGACCCTTGCATTACGCTCTCACTATTAGGAGTCGAGTTGTTCAGGTTAATCTTAGGGCTTAATGGATCCCTTCAAGGGAATTTGCACTTACAATGCCAGAAAGGTATATTTTGTTAAAAAGTGCCGATAAATTTGCGCCTGACTTAAAGAGCGGAAGACGATTGCATCGTTTCGCGTTAAGGTACGGTTTTCAACAATCGTCCGCAGGAAACGAGTGGCGAGAGGGGGGGATATATCATCATCATCCGCGGACGGGAATTGCCCGTTCACCAGGCACTCCGCTCGTTTATACTCGCCTCTTCTTCTTGCCGATCATTGCCGGCAGGAAGCACGCGGCTTTTCCACGCTGCAGATTCCGCGTTAGGTTTCAATCGAGAGACACCTTTCTTCGCTTTGCGAACGGGGTTCGATGGGAACCACGGTGAGATTTCGCACCGTTCGTCGGAGTGATATTACCTATTCGCTGTACTTTTTGCTCAGATATCATTTCCGGAGACGTTGCCTAGAAACAGAACTTCGAGAGCGTTCATCAAACAGAGCAGATCTCTGTATACTGTATATTCCGCTAAATAAACACGGGCAAAAAAGAATGCGATCCACGAAAGAATTGCGATTAGATATTACGAGCCTGATATATATATCCTCTCCCGTGACTTTCTTCCAGGAGTAATATGCAATGAGGGAAATCACGTTGTATATACAAATAAGGCGAAAACTAATATCGATAAATCTCACATTTTTATTTTAACTTCCGAGCGACCGGATTAATTCAAAAGACCATGTGATCCCGCGATACGACATACTGATTACGATCTCAAGTATCATGAAGTTTGTTAAGCCTGCGATTTAGATTCCGTGGACAATCTTACGCGCGCGCGCATCATTATTTAACAGTAATTAATTCCCTTCCCTTTCTGGGTGTGCCTTGGCGGGATAATTACATATCGTGAGAAATGTAATTATCGCGACTTCTTGTCTTGATGCGACTTTATTTCGAGAGATAGAGAGAAGCAGCTCTCTTCCGTTTTTCCAGAACAATGACTTTTCACGATCGATCTTCGCGAAAAATTTCAATCAGAAAATATATAAACGTGATCATATCGCTTTTTTATATTTAACAAATTTTAACTATATTAAATAAACGTATAATGTAAGCGTTTATATGGATATTCTATTTTGTGATTTTTTTTTTTATAGAACCGTATCATTCGAAAAAAGTTGCTCATCTGGGTTTCATTTCGTGGCGATACATCTGCGATACATCATCACTTCCCCGATTGGAAACTTAATGATTCGACATGCGCGAAGAGTGCGACGAACTTTTCGTGCTCCTCCATACGATTCTGTTTTCCTACCTCGCGGCCGATCGATCGGCAAGATCCCTGCCCATTTGATTTTAAGATTATTTTATTGTCGACCTTTTCGGCAAAATCATCAATCCGTAGATTCAATCCGTAGCGATCCGTAGATTACATTTCGAATTGCTCGAGTACTGAAATCTACTTTCAAGATTATAAAATCAAACGGTGCTTTACAGCTTGAACTTTTCCTAGTATTAATTTCTGTTATCAATGTTAAACCGTATTGGCATTCTACAATATACTTATAAAAAAACCTGTTTTCCCAAGTTATTTTTGTCGCTATTGTAAAACCTTTTATACCTATTATATATCTGTTAACTTGAAAAAGCCATTACATCATTTATTGTATTCACTGTTGGAAAATTTAGCTTAAATTTAACATATATCGCATGTCTCAAACGATCCACACAAATGTTTGTGTTAATTTAACATAATATGGATATATTAATTGGTAACATCAATACTATGTTAATATTTCAACACAAAATGAATGCAAACTTCATAGTAATTTGAAATAAATTTTGTGTAAAAACAACATATTTTTAATGATAAAATTAACGTAAAAAAATGTTATTGACGGTAGTCACTATCACTCCTATTGTAAAATAAAATCAACATTCTTCTCTGTAAATTTTAACAGATAAATCCTGTCACTTATAACACGGAACATTATCTATTATGTAAAATTAAAAATATGTGCACATTGTATTATTTTCATATTTTTTTCAGTTGTTTTAATAATTTAACATTTTAGTTCAATTGACCCAACAGCAACATATTAAATTAACACATGAATGTGTTAAATATCTAACACAAAAATGTTTACCGGCATATTTTTTAACAAGAAAATACCAATTTTCCAACAATCTATAGATCTGCACGCATTAACTTATTCACGAATGATATAATCGTCATGTTACGAAGCACTCGAAAACGAACTTGCAAAGCTACAGAATCTCGTCGCGCGAGAGGAATGCATCGTGAAAGGTGGAAAAGTGTAAGGACGATCGAAAGGATTGCAAGCGGCCTTAATTACAACGCCGGCGCTTTTTTCCCGCGCTATCCTTTCTTCTTTGCAAATTAGTCATGCATTATGCCGTCGTAATTTAACGGGCGTGGTTTAACGTGGATTAAGAACAATGTTGTTTTTTTCCCTTCGGGATTCTCTTACCATTTGCGAATAATACTGACCGTAAGCTGATGTAATTTACATTTTTATCCGATATCAATGCAAGAAAGATAATATCATGGCGATTTGTATAAAATAGTAATTAGTTCGTGATTCTCAATAAATAAATAGAGAAAGAGAGAGAGAGAGAAAGAAATTGCGAAATTGCGACCTGCAAGTGTAAACAAATTCTATCTTAGACATGTCATTCCGTTGGAGCGATTCTACAATTGGGCAGCAGAAAATAAAATGCTCCCTACAATTAATATTGAGCTTGAGAAGTGTAGAGAAAAAAATATGAATATATAAAGTAAAAATTCGAGCGAGATGCCAATTTATAATAATTTCTAATATCAAGTGTAATTTTTTGCTTGAAAAACATATATTAAATTGTATGTAGCATACAAGCATTCATATCGTTAGAATGCATATAACGAATTTAAGATGTAAACGTAATAGACGTAATTTGTAAAATCAAAGCAAAATTTTATAAATCTATAAATCTATAAAAATATATTTATACTTTTCCTTCTAATTGAAAGTCTATTAGCTATTTTCTTTATCTTTTTCATCTTTACAAACTGCTCTGCTAGAGATTACCATCGACTTCATCTATCTCTCTATGACTTTCTGGCTCGCTCAAGCACGCGTTTAGGTCTAAAATTACTTATAGTACAATATTATTTAGCATAATTTTAATTATTCATTTAACTAACTTTATTATTAAGATTCTTTATATTGATCCGGTTGGACTGCATTCTTTAGGATCGAGGACTATATGTCCTACAAGTTAGGCACATGTTTCTTTAAGGCACCATATTCTAATTCTTCTCTTAGCAGACTTTGAATTTACGTTTAAATCGTTTAGTTGTGATATTCGGCGAAGAAAGTGCATATTTATATATTTTAAAATTTGTCATTATCAAAATTTGCTATAAAAAACTGATTCGGCTAATGACATTCACCATTTTGAACAAAAGATTCATCGCCGATTTTTCAAATAGGATTTACCTTCATTCTTGTTTGTCTTCAAATTCCATCTTCATATTTTTCGGTTCGTAAGAATGTTTATGAAAATTTATTTCGTGTACTGTAGTTTTGGATTAATCTAGAGTCACCGCGAGGGCGTAGCAGTTCTTAGTAGAATCGAATCTCGCGTGATTGAAAGTGAAATGCAACCTCTCCAAGACTTTCGCTCTTATTCCGACGGCTCGAATTCACTCTTGTTCTGAGCTGCAACCGCGAATCAATGAGAGACATTTTTTAAGTGAACTAGTCGCATTTGATAATCGGATTATCAAGACTCAGGTGTTATTGCCGGGCGAAAGTGGCGGCGAGTTCGCGTCCCTTTGTTCCTCCTGGACGCTCTCTGGCCTGCTGGTCGTGCTACTGGACCTCGAGCTGAGATTGTCCCTGTCGCTAAAGTACGATGAGTCTCCTCGCTTTTCCTCCAGTTGGAGTTGCTGCTTGTCGTTCTTAAAGTCGTCAGTAGCGTGGCCCAACAGACCGGGGAAGTACGGTATGGCCTGTCGTTGTGAGGTGATCTTCCCCATGAAACTGCGGATCTCCTCGAAATAGGAATCGTCGGTCCTGGGAAGCTGACCGTGGTACCTCGATCTGACCTCATCCAGTATCGTAGGGCCATCCGCGTCGTGCTTCTTCAAATGCCGGTCCAGATTAGTCTGCTGACCGAAGCATCTCTCGCAGAGCGGACACTTGAAGGGTTTCTCCTTGTTGTGGATGTTCCTGACATGACGTTGGAGGTTACTCGAAATGCTGAAACTCCTCTCGCAGTACTTGCACTTGTACGGCTGTTCGCCAGTGTGCGTTCTCAGGTGTCTCGTTAAATTCGCCGATCTTGGAAAGACTTTGCCGCAGAATTTGCACGAGTATCTGTCCTTGGGCTTGAGACCGGCTTGCATGCTGATCGAGTAGGGTGACAGACTGGAGCTCTGTTGTTGTTGCTGCTGCTGCTGTTGTTGGTGCTGTTGCTGTTGTTGCTGCTGCGTGGTATTACTTTGCTGTTGATGCTGTTGCTGATGTTGACCGCCTGCCGGACTGACGGCTCTTGCCGTCAATTGCGAGGAGGAAGGGGAAGAGGTGGTGGACGACGAGAATCTGTTGGGCGGCAGAGGTACCATCGTAGGTAGCGCTCTGACCTGGATCTTTGGCAGATCGGGCACCGACGAGCTATGATGATGCGATCTGTACATTGCTTCCAGGACCAACGGGTGTACCGCATGATGCTGAGGGAAGAGCACCGTGTGATAGGGCAGACTACCGCCCGGACTGTTCTGGTTTAACACCTCGATCTCGTTCTGATTCTCGTCCCTGAGGCGTTCCTTCTTGTGATCGACGCGGAGATCGAGCGGCTCGCAGTCGAGATCATTCTGGTGATGCGACTGGGGTGGTCTGGCCGCGGGACTCATATGCGGCTGTTGCTGATTTGTCGGGCTCAACAGGCCACGACCGTGACCATGACTTAGGTCGTACGGCAGCTCCTCGACATCCGGCACGCGGACGCTCAGGGGATAAATGCTGGCTTGCTTTGGGCTTATGTGGCCCGGCATCTTCCTTGGACTCGAGTCCTTCTCCCGCATGGCTGGAGGATACTTCGGGTCGTGCAGCAACGTCGGGGGCAGGGTGATGCTACCGAGGTATCCGCTCATCACACTGTCTCTGTCACTCGGTCTTGCTCCTACTCTTCGCTTGAGATAATCTGAAATATCGAACGTTTGTAATTAGCGTTAATAAAATTTCAGGAAAATTATATTTTTAATCTGAAATTAGTTTACAAGTAACGCATCATATCTTTCTGATATTAATATACAGGGTGTCCTAGACCATCCGTACATCCCTTTCCTTTCAAAAACTAAGCATTTTAGAGAAAAACGTTTTGAACAAAAATTGTATGGTTTTGAGGGAAACATAAGATGGTGTCATTGGTTTGACCTTGGATGGCATCGTTAAGGTCAAGTAAAGAATATGCAATAAAAAAAAGGGAATTCTATTTAAGAAATTAAAGGTGTTCTTGACTTGACCTTAACGATGCCATGCAAGGTCAAACCAATGACACCATCTTATGTTTCCCTCAAAACCATACAATTTTTGTTCAAAACGTTTTTCTCTAAAATGCTTAGTTTTTGAAAGAAAAGGGGTGTACGGGTGGTCTAGGACACCCTGTATATACAGAATGTGTCGTGTACATTGGTGATACAACCGGGAAAATAATGATTTTACATAAAAAAATAATTCGCAAATGTATAATAAAATTTGTTCATATAAGGTTTTTTTTACAAAGAGAGAAACTGATATTGAAATATAAAATATGAATAACATATTTAAGTCTTTTTAAATTTAAATGACTTTTGATGTTTTTTGTTATGAGCTTCTTGACAACATCTATTAATACATAAATATCAAAATACAAGAAGAGGAGGAGTTGCATCAAAATTTAAAATAATTTAAGTTACATCGAAAAATGTTGTGTATAAAATATCTGGATTCTATTTTTCCAATGAATAAAATGTATCTTTTTATACATATGTGTATAATTACTATCGAGATAAATCCGACAATGTATAATAAGAGATTGTTTGACATTCAAAAAATGCTTAATATGTTATGAATTTTTTTATCTTAATTCTATTGAAAACAAAGTCTCGCATAAAAATAAAAATTTTACAGTTTTACTTATGTTTTCATGTAGAATTATTATCCCCAATTATACGGGATATTCTGTATACATGTCAGTGAAGTATTAAAATGTACATATTTAGTAACGATTTCAATAATACAATTACATTCCTCTTATTATTCGTGAATTTAGTACTAATCACACATATATTGCAATTATATTACTAATCATATACTTTCGATATCTAAACTTGTATGACTTTGTCATATCAGAGGGAAAGTTAGGATTCTCTAATCTACTAAATGGTGGATCTTTGATACGACTACTTATTGTATGTGTATGTGGATATGACAAAATATATAAACTATAAAATTTATATACTTATATTATTTATATATTATTTATATGTCTGATTTAAAAACATAATAACATTATACGCTAAAATAAAATAAGTTTAACCAATTCAAACGTAACACTCCTTAGTTTAGCGATGATAAAATTCAGGGTTGACAAGACAAGAAAAAGAAATGAAAAATATATTGAGCAACGCAGACATAGACGGTGTTAAACAAATTTTAAGGTCACGCCCGATTACGACATCTGAAACGTCAGTCAAAAGTTATTGAATATACCAATCTGTGGCATCGTCAGATAGACACAAGCGATTATTAGAGATACGTATCGCGCGTAACATCGACCGGTTGACAAGCGAGCCTCGCCGCTTGTGCTTCATAAATCAAAAACCTATCGTGCGTGCTCTCTTGGCTTTCTTTCTTACCGTTCGGCAATAGATCATATTATAGCGAACCGAGAGAGAAGAATAGAGGAGCATTATAGGGCCGCTAGAAAACGACGCGATATGAAAACATTAGTGAAAGGATCTCTCTTTCTCTCTTTTTTTTCCTTTCTCTATCGACATCGACATCATCGTTACTCGATCGCGGCGCGAAAGAAGCGGTGAGAGATAGTGAAAAAGAGAGGGGAACATAACGGGACTCGATAAATCAAGGCATCAATCGCGTTTGTGATAAATGTGTCTTCGGCCCGAGGCTATACGGCAAGGATTTTAGAAGCCGAAGAAATCGATCTCCCGGGCAAATCAAACTGCTCGCATTTTTACCACTTGACGTCAGACACATCGGGGTTTGAAAAAAAAAAAATATAGATGGAACACCTGCCAGATACGCAAGATGTGTCTATCAGATCTTTGCGATCGCACGTATTATGGATCATTGAATCGTTCTCGCTTGCTCTCTCTCTCTCTCTCTCTCTTTCTTGCATTCTATCTCTCCCTTTCTAAATGCTTCTCCATTTCGTTCAGGCACGTGCTTCGAACTCTGTAGCGCCCGCTAATTGACAGAATTTTATTAATGAATCACTATCATACGCGCAATTAATTTTATCCGTCCGAGATTTTCTCGTCAGCGAACAAAGTTCTCCGCAAGTTCTTCCGCGATATGTAACGAAATAACGATATCCGTATAACAATCCAATCAATATATCTGTAACAAAGGGACATTGGATAATTGTCCGATTTATTTTGGTGTATACATTCTACTTCTGTCACATGGTTAACACGCTTTAGAGAGGAAATAAAATCTGGAATAGAACAAAAAAAGAAATATTTAAAAAGACGAAGAAAAAAATACACAACGTTCAAATGTGTGATGATGAATTATTGATTTTTATATTATCTATATTTATATATGTATCAATGAAATGTAGATAAAATATAGACATATAACAGAAATAATGTATAAAACTAAACATTTAATTTTTTTTTTCGTTGATTTTACGAAGACAATAAGTATCTGTATTTTCAGTTCTGCTTGTTTCTTTCATATATTTAATTGCTGCAAAATACAAATACAATAGAAATAATTTGTAAGATTTAAAACATCTGATTACATATAGATTTTAAAAATATAATAAGTATTTTTAACTCTTGTTTCTTCTGTTATTCGCCCCCCTAGAAGTATTAACATGTTCCAGCTCGAAATATTTAATTTACGGAAAAATAAAAAAAAAAATAGAGAATTTTTTAAGTGTTTCGAAGATCGCTATTATAATTCGGCTGACAATGACGCAGCTGCGTTGAGATCACCGCACTTCTTGCGAGCGTTGATGTCTCCATCTGCGCATGGCGGGAAGGCGAGTATATTTTATTTTCAATCGCCACGTGCCATCGAGCTAAATGTAGAAACGCGAGAAGCTTTTATTGCAAATCGCGGACATATCTCGCTGTGATTACGTATTGTTCAATTTTGTGAGACAGAGAGAGAGAGAGAGAGAGAGAGAGAGAGAGAGAGTATGTGTGTACTTTAATAGAAATATAAAACATAATATAAAGTCACGATTTATCATAGATGTGGAATTTAATGCAACAAAAAATACGATGTAATATATTAATTTATCAATAAATATTAATATAAATATTAAAATCATCATAATGGTTAGAGAAAAGAGAAGAGAGAGAGAAAGAATTACATGTTATATATAAATTATTTTCTAAATATTC